GAAGGCAGAGGCTTTAACCCACTGAGCCACCCAGGCGCCCCAAGAATAGATGTTCTTTAGAGATAAAGGAAGATCAAAGAAACACATAAGCCAAATGCATTGCATAGATCTGGCTTGCTTGTTCCTGATTTGCACAAACTGCACAAAGACAATTTGAAATTACGGGTATCATTGAATAAGAACCAAGTATTAAATGACAGTAAGGAATTATTAATTGTGTTAAGTGTGAAATGGTATTTTGGTTTGTTAAAAAAAAAAGTCCCAGGGTGCCTGGCTCTGGCTGGCTCAATTGGAAGACCATGTAGTTCTTTATCTTGGGGTTGTGAGTTTGAGCCTCTCATTGGACGTAGAGATTACTAAAACAAATAAACTTAAAAAGGCCGGGGTGGGGGGGACTTCTTAAAAAAAAAAGTCCTTACGGCACCTGGGTGGCTTAGTTGGTTAAGTATCCAACTCCTGATTTTGCTCAGGTCAACCTGGGTGTGGAGCTCGCTTAAGATTAAGTCTCTCCCTCTCTACCCTGTCCCCCCTTTTAAAAAAAAAGTCCATGGGGCACCTGCGTGGCTCAGTGGATTAAGCCTCTGCCTGGGCTTAGGTCATGATCTCAGGGTCCTGGGATGGAGCCCTGCATTGGGCTTTCTGCTCAGCAGGGAGCTTGCTTCCCCCTGTCTGCCTGCCTGCCTTTCTGCCTACCTGTGATCTCTCTCTCTCTCTGTCAAATAAATAAATAAAATCTTTAAAAAAAAAAAAAGTTTCTATTAAAAAAGAAAGTCCTTATGTGTAAGAGATACACACTGAAGTTTAGAATTTGCTTTAAGTTTCTCCAAAAAAAGTGGGTAGCATAGATGAAAGGGAACTGTTTTGCCAAATGTTACTGTTAAATCTGAGTAGAAGAGATTAAAGTATTGTAGGGGAGGAAAATTAATTTTTCCTCTACCTCTCCGAGGTCTTGGTTGAGACCCCTGTAATAAAAGATTAAAAACAAAAGACAAATATATTAACATGTATATCTCATGTATGCACTGGAGATACCCAGGGAAAATGAATTAACTCAGAGGTGGATTAGAACTCTGGCTTATGGGGCACCCGGGTGGCTCAGTGGGTTAATCTGCTTTCGGCTCAGGTCACGGTCTCAGGGTCAGTGGGGAGCCTGCTTCCTCCTCTCTCTCTGCCTGCCTCTCTGCCTACTTGTGATCTCTATCTATCAAATAGATAATAAAATCTTAAAAAAAAAAAAAAAAAGAACTCCGGCTTATAGCATATCCTCAACAAAGAGCAATACATTTTTGGAGAAATGACTGGACAAAGGAAAGAAGTTTTAGGCTTCTAAGAACGGCAGACTGCGGGAAGGTAAAATAAGGTAGATAAAGGCTCTTGTTTGTTTTGTTAGTTTCCTCTGGCGCTGTCTCCAGGCTGATAGGGTCTAAACTTGTCTCCCTTGATTAACTTTTGTCCTTCCTGGTAAGGGTTGGAGGAATACTTTTAAAAACTTATGTCTTGGGGCGCCTGGGTGGCTCAGTGGGTTAAAGCCTCTGCCTTCAGCTCAGGTCATGATCCTAGGGTCCTGGGATGGAGCCCCACATCAGGCTCTCTGCTCAGCGGGGAGCCTGCTTCTTCCTCTCTCTCTGCCTTCCTCTCTGCCTACTTGTGGTCTCTCTCTCTGTCAAATAAATAAATAAAATCTTTAAAACAAACAAACAAACAAACGAACAAAAAACTTATGTCTTGCTTCGGGGCACCTGGGTGACTCAGTCAGTTATTCTTGTGACTCTTGCTTTTGGCTCAGGGTTTTGAGATCCAGCCCAGTGTGGGGCTCTGAGCCCAGTGCACAGTCTGCTTGAGATTCTCTTCCTCTTCTTCCCCTTCTGTCCCTCCCCATGCTTT